TACTCTTTTGATGGAATATACCTTTGTCGAGGAGGGTTGCACAACTATGTCAAAATGTTGGCTGAGATAAGTGCTTGAAGATGTGGAAAAGGAAAACACACTTTAAGATTTACCCAATATTGAATTGCATTTGAGTCAATTTTAGGAACTTTTCGTATAAGTTTGTTATTCTTTAGATGCAAAAAGAGATAAACTCCATGAATTTCTTATATCACTATTAGTTGAGTTTTAAAAGCTTAGAAATGTATTTATAATTTTCAAATATTGAAGGCATTCAAGTCATTTACGGAGTATCTGAGCTTCGACCATTGACAAGATGCTTTTATTTGCATGTTATTGTTTTTATTGATTGCATCAAAGTGCCTGCCTTGTCCATTGTTTCATCAATAATTTCCCCTTTTAGCCTGTAAATTGACTTTTTATTTTTATGGTTTTCTTTTTAAATTCAAAAGTGTAAATGCTGCCACGCCTATCGATCTGTGTGTGCCGCCTCAGAGTGCATCATTAGCGCCATCGTTTTAAAATATTATTAATTCTTAATGGTCATATATGCATATAGCATTTATGACACGAGGCCGGGCCAAATGAATTTCCTGCACAGACGCTGCCGGGACACAGGACCACACACAAGACGAAGCGCTCGCGACTGGCAACACGTGAAAGAAAAGCAGCAGCAGCAGCGGCAGCAACGGAAAACGGAAAATTTACAGAGTGCAACTAAAAAAAAAGAAGCAGTTAACAACAAAAAGAAAACAAAAAGTAAAATAAAAATCATAATAAAAAAAAAAGGAATCCCAGACGACGTTCGTCAACGGCAAACAACGATCGATAAAATGCTTGCATGTGAATTATTTTAATGAGTTCCGTTTCGTTGGAAAAGAAAAATATGAACGATAAACTAAATACATCCAGATAAAAAATGAAAATAAACAACAAAAAATGCCAAGCAAATCTCACTCACACAATAGCGAGGGCAAATGAAGAAAGCACAAAAAAAATAAAGCACTGCCATTTTTTAATGCAACTTTGCTGGATTTCCCGTGCAGCCAAATGTTAGCCAGCTGCCAAGTCAACCGGTGGACCCAGAGGGGAAGGGCCGTCAGTTGGCAACGTTTTAAAATTAATAATGCGAAGTCAAGTTCAACTCTCAGCAGCCGGAAGTGTGAGATAAGGCAAAGTCAAATCAGAATTCGGTATTTGCCAAACTGATGATGCATTTTAAACGGCTACAAAATCTGACGCTAAGAACAATTAAATTAGCTCGTTTGGCACTCAAACAGATAAAACATTTAACAACAAATAATATCAACTAAGAAATCAAAGCCTGGCCACGCTGATGGTATTCTATAATAATAATAATAATAATAATAATAATAATAATAATAATAATAATAATAATTATAATAATAATAATAATAATAATAATAATAATAATACTAATAAATATAATAAAATTGATTTTATAATTATTATTATCATTACTATTATTATCATTGTTATTATTAGCGTTATTATTATTATTATTGTTATTATTATCATTATTACTATTATCATTGTTATTATTAGCATTATTATTATTTTCATTGTTATAATTATTATAAGTATTAATAATTATTATTATTATCAATATTATTATAATTATTATTAGTATTATTATAGGTATTATAATTATTATTATTATCATGATTATCATTATTATTAATATTATTATTCTCGCATATATGTATAAGGCCTTAATTCCCATGTGCCGCAACTTTCTCAAAGCCTGCCGCCGCAGCCAAACATATTCACTCAGCTATGCCTAAGTTGCAACGAGTTGTTGCAAGCATGCAATCGCCTGCAACCACAACAGAGCCGCAAAGCGGCCAAAGTTTAAGGCATAGCGTGCGCACCTTTTTAGCTCGGGATATTCAACAATATCGCATTGCTGCCCGGCAGCCAGCAATTTTCTCTCACACTTTCAGCCAGACGCGACACAAAAATTAAAAAAAAAACAAAAAGGGAAAAAGGCGTGGCAAAGGAGTGGGAAGCACGCTATAGCCGTGACCATATCTATATCTATATCTCCATAGAGAGAGAGAGCTATGGCAATCTCAATTTCTTGCTGCTTGTCGTGCTCTGCTTTATGTGTCCCCACTTCATACCCTTTTTTTTTTTGCTGCTCTGCTTTGTAGGACAGTTTTGGCGTCTCAATCAGATAGCGCAAACAGAGAAAGAAACCCGTTAAAGAGCGCGCGTGGGAGGGCGGGAACAACAAAAGTTGTCAATTGACGCCAAAAGTTGACGCCAGCACCCAAAGGCAGGGCGAACAAAATTGAAATAAAAAAAAAAGGTGGAAAAAACTAAACATAAAGAAGAAGGTGCAAAATGCAATAACAGTTAAGTCATTGGCCCCAAGTGCTGGCAAATAAGCCAAGCCCCGACCCAACAGAACCTAACTCAAACCCAAACCGTATCGCTCGTTGGTTTTAAGCACGGCGATTCCGGCTACCAGCTAGACGGTTATAAATAACGCTTAATTGCAGCACAATGTTTATAGCTGCTGCCAATTTTGTAGACGTTGCCAACGTTGGAACCAAGCACGAGAAAACTGGTGAACACACTTTAGTAAACAGGACATGAGTCGAGTCGAGTCGAGTCGAGTCGAGTCAAGTGGAGTGAAGCGGAGTGGAGCGAAGCCGTGAGTTACTCGGAGGCGGCATTATGAGTAGTTAATTTAGAGCAACAAAGTTGTTAACTGTTTTTCCTACAGAGCAGCTGCTCTGGCAGTGGCAATTTTCAGCTTCTTGCTGCAAATTACCCAATTTTAAATTAACAAATTCCATTTCAACATTTTAATTAGGTTTTAAAAATTTCATGCGACTGCCCTCCTGCCTGCCCGCCTGCCAAAGTTAGCCATAGAGCCCCAGCGACCGACCGACTTCCTTGAGAGCCAGCTTGCGTATTAATATGCGCCATTTCCGTTTCCGATTAGCATAGCGAGCGCGCGAGCTAAGCAAATGGCGCCCAAAAATGGCGGCAGCTGAGCCACCAGAAACAACAACGGCAACACACAAACAGGAAATGGCACAAAGCTGACTGTCTCTACAGTCAAGTGGCAAAAGGGCTTCCACTCTGTAGCCGTGTGTGCGTGTGTGTGTGCTTGTGTGTGTTTATGCTGTGCTTACTGTAGGCAAATGTATTTCATTTTATTTTAATTTTCATCATCATGGCGCGAAACTAGCACAGACAGTAACAAAAACAACAAAAGCAGCAGCGGCAACAAAAACAACAACAAGCAATGAGCGCAACGAAAAATTTTCACATTTAAAATCCAAAACGATAAAAAAAAATATCAAGCAAAACTGGTCAACGCAGTGCGAAGACGAACAGGAAATGCTCTGCAAATGTAACCGGAAATGGAAATGGTAGGTGATGTTGACGCCATCTGGCGGTAATTAAATGCATTAAACGCAGCTTATTTCAGACAAATTATTTAAATCCAATTTTGTCAAGCCAATAAAAATGTACGATGAACTAGTTCAAATTTTAAACTATTTTTAGTCAAGGGACAAGTTTCAAAGAAAAATACGAAAGAAACCATTTTTTGACAGAATAAAATAAATTTCGTTTAATCTTAAGTTTCGGTTAATGGCTATCAAGAAGTTGGAAATATAAGAAAAAGGGCTCAGGCAAGTTCAAGTTTGAAAGAATAATAAATAGGGCTTGAACTAGTTTAAAAAAAATCAAACTTCTATGCAACAGAGTGTAGAATATTTAGTCTTTGCTGCTACTAAGACTACTAAGAAACAAAATAAAAATTAAATAAATACGTGTTCAACGATATAAAGTTCATATAACGCATATAGAGTTCCACGGTCAAGGTCGGGCAATACCCGCTAGTTCAAGATATATGCAGTTGATTTCAGATATTATATTCAAAGTGCCTGGCGTAGCTTATGTGCCCGTTTTAAACATTTCATTGGTTACAGCGTATTATAAAGCTTGTGAGCGCTTCTCGCGTTTCGCTTGTGCAAAAGCTGCAGTTAATTTGGTGCTTCAAATTTTAATGCCAGGCCAGGGCAATGGGCAACAACAACAACAACAGCAACAATAACATTGAGAACGACCACGTTCAGCAAATGGTCTGCCCGAACTCAGGGCTCTGGGCGCCGTTTTATAGTCAGACGCAAGCCAAGCGCCAGGCGATGTTGTCCAATATCTAAGCTGCTTCAGCTCTAGCTCGAGGTCCTGCTTCTGCTGCTCCTGTGCTAGCTACTGCTGTTATCCTTGTTGCCTGTCGCACCAAAGGCTCTTTTGCATAAAATTCTCACATTACGCATACGCCGCGTTGTATTTACAGTTACTGAGCATTTTATTTCCGTGCCTTTTACTTGACTCCACACTTTTGCCCAACATTTGCTTTGCTTTACCGTGTTTCCTGCGTTTGTTTTTATAGATTTTACGGCATTGCTCAGGCTCAGTTGTTACAGTTACTGTTACTGTTACGGTTCTTATTATTTAAAGCAACAAATATTTTCAACTTAATTAAACTTAAAAAAAAAAAACACAAAGCAGAGCGCCTGCTTTCAAGATTCAAACATCTGCTGTTCCGTCTCCTTAACTGCAATGCTATATAATTTTGGTGCATAAAATTCACGTTTAATGCCGCAAAGTATGCAACGCTTTTTATGAGACAACAAACACACACACAAACGCATTCTCCCGCACAAACACCGACACACCCACAAACACAAATACATCACAAAGGGATGTGGGGACCTTTGCGCTCAATTTATGTCCCTGGGCAACAAAAATTTATTGTCAACTGATAAGCAGGCCGTGGCAAAGTAGCCCAAAGGCCAAAATGTATAAAAAAAAAAGTTTAGAAAAGCAGAAAAAAAACCATGCAGAATTTTTAACACGCTTTCGTGGGAAAAATAATTAAAATTTCAAAATATTTAAATAATTATTTCTAAAAAATAGAATAGTTTTGTAAATAAAAAAAAAATTAAACTTACCACAAACACAATATTATTAAGAGTTCTCCGAGCATAAATTCTGAAAGAAAATAAAATGCAAAACGAAAGTTTAAAATCAAAGGTGAATGTTAAAAAATTGTTTTAAATTTTATATTAGACTAAATCAAATATGATTTAACTTTCTGTACAGAGTTCATGCTGTCTCGAATACCCTTACGCTGTGGTTAGAATTAGATGAAAACTGAAACTCGGCCGTTTCGTCAGTTTATTGATTTTGCTTTGGCACATAAATTTTGAATGGCAAAGAAAAACTTTCGTTTTGGGTCCTCCACGTCCTTTTCGCCATTGGGGTTTTTTATATGCAAATGCATAAAAAGTGTCATGATTGCCGTGTTTGTTTGCCGCCCGGGCCGAGGGCCGAGTTCTTGCTGCAGCAGGCTTACGTGTAGCATGTCTGACCCAGGATTGACCCCTTGAGCAGACCCTCAACATGTCTCGACGTTTCATTTGTTTGTATTTGCGAAATTTGTGCAGAAGTGCTCCATATTTGAGCATATGTTTTGGTATTCTATTGGCTTGAGTGCGTCTGTGGCCTGATAATTGAAATGGCTCCCCAAGGGCACGTTATGAAACCAACCCCAACCCCAAACCCAACCCCAACCCAAGCCCGAAAACCTCCTGTCCTTACTGTCAACGTAGTCATCATTGTCATGCTCTCTTGTCGCCTGTGCCTAATACATATTTTGGCCCTCTTTATTTATTATGTTTTATTTTTGAATTTGTATAAATTTATCTAGCTTGAATATAGTATTTTGGTTAGAGAACTATTTGCAATGCAGGTCATAGCTCCGCATGAATTTCTTTGTACGTAAATCTTTAAATGTAAAATGGATTTAAGAAATATTTTTAATATGAAATATTTGCGTTAAAAGAGCAGGCAGAGCTGACACAGATAATCTTTGATAAAATGTAAAACCACAAATTGCAGCATTTAAAAGTGAAATTGTTTGTTTGCTGTATTAAAGATGGAAAAACTATATTTAAATGGGAAGGTAAGGATTTGCCATGCCCACTATTAGATACCCTTGTAGAAATTTCCCTTTACTTTAGTTACTTTTCAACCGAATCTTCCTATGGGTTTGTAGAATAAAGTATTGAAATCTTGATAGAACTTGTCTCATATTAAAATAGTTTAATAGGTAAATGTTAGATAAGTCAAGATATCTTGAGTCAATTTTCGACCGATCGTTCCTATGGAAACTGTATGATATACTAGTCCGATGTTGTTAAGTTATGTAGCGAAACCTTCGAATGCCAAGTTTGGTAAAGATATCTCCTTCCGAGCGTTTCACATTTCATAACAAAACTACAATACCCTCTCAAAAGGATATAAAAAAATTAAGAAACATGTTTGTATTTTAAATCTTAGCTGCCATGTAAATTCCACATAAAAAAAGCACAAAATAATAAATTTGAACTAAATAAAAATTACGATAGCAATAAAATTAAATATTTAAACTCAGATTTATGGGCGATGAGGTATAGAACTGACCTACTCCGAGCTTAAATCAAAAATGATGTAATATTCTGATTGGGCAATACGTTAGTTTTGGCCAAAAAATGAAAATGAAAATGAAAAAGAAAAACTATATCTTGATATTCACAAATTTATGTATGCAGCAGGCGTTATCTTATTAGATGCGTATAAACTTAATATACCTTTTCCATATATTGGCCAACTTGCGAACCATTTTTCATTTGTGTTTCACACATAAAATATCCTCCATACGCCCCGTTGCCTTTGCAACTACTCCCCCCCCGCCCATCTCCCTGCCGCACTTCGGCAGCGATTCCACTGGGAGGAGGCGCCTTGTCAACTGGTTTGAAAAATAGATTTTTACGGGCTTAGCTGCGCATCGTCAGCCACGACAACGACAGCGCGGACGGACGGACGCTGGCATCGCTGGCGCAATGTGGATAACTGTGCTAGTGGAGAGCAAGGCGGGGGAGAAGGGGAGTTAGAACTAGCAAATCCCGCGGCCGTTCCCTTTTGTGTCTCACTCGCGTCATTTAAAAGACATTTGCCTGTCATTTTATGCCGTGTTTGGCACAGTTTTCTACGGCACAAAACTTTTTCCTTGCCAACAATGGGCTGGCTCTGGAGAATGGGTGCCGACAGCAGGCAGGCAGGCAGGCAGGCGGACAGGCGGACAGACGGACAGACGGACGGACGGGCAGCGGGTTGTGTGCTGCCATGGCATGACAGTGTCATTAGTTTGGCATTGGCAACACATTGCCAATACATTTGCAGCAGGTGCAGCAGCAGCAACGGAATTGCAGCGCAAAAATGATTGGAAAAAACAAAACAAAAACAAAAAAAAAACTTTTCTAATGATCAATAAGCGTTGCGAGGCTGAAAATTAGTTTAATTAAATTGGAAAATGCGCTGCGTGTGCGTGTGTGTGTATCTATGTGTGTGTTATTCGCGATTTGCGAAATATATGCAAATTATAAAAGCCGAACGGCTGCAGTTGGCGTTAATTTACCTAATCGAATTGCATGGCATTAAAAGCTTTAATTGACCATGTCCTGCAAATCCTTGCCTCACACACAAAAAGTTGCACAAAATGCCAAATTTATTATAAACCATTTGTACAATGCGGCTCAAGTGTCACACGCTGAGCTCTACATGGTTTACGGTCGCTTACCCTCTCTCTCTCTCTCGCACACACTCCGCCACGCTCTCTCATTCTCTCTCTCTCTCTCTTTCCCGCTGGGGGCTTTGGGCTTTGCATTTTGCCTTTGGCTTTCACAAATGAACGCGAAATGCACGCGGCTAAACTTCAAAAGCGCACAAATGCGCCATTAGGAGGAACGCTTGGCCATTGTAGGGGTTGTTGCAAGTTGTTGGGGCTGTGTTTGTGGCAAGTGAGAGGTGGATGGGGGCAACACAGTTTGGTGTATGGATTTTGCCAGCTTCGTTGCATAACATAAAAGTTTTGTAAAATGGCATTAGCTTCAGATGCCACGCACACAGCGGCGTATACGCAACATTAGAACAGCAACAAATGTGCAGAAGAAGCCAAAGCAAATGCTACAAAGCAATTTATGCTATACTCTATAACAAAGAGTCAATGCAGTAAATAGAAATGTATAAAAGTAATTATTTATAAAAATGTGACACACGCATAAAATACATAATCATTTAAGATTGTCATTTAAGGTGTCTACACAAATACTCAGCTCAAGAGAAAATACTTGAGCTTTTAGCATGCATTAAACTAACCTTTCTGCAGAGCATTCCGCATGCATTTCAAGCAAAGTACGGGCAATCTAAGCTTTGTTGCGTAAGAAAAATACCTTTGTTTTTGTGTGTATGTGCGTGTGTGTGATTTTTCAAAGCAGCTTACTACGTTTAACTGTGCTACAATAACATACACACACACACACACATGCAAAGGCGCGGCAAGTTTTCACTTACGAAATTTTTGCGGTTTTCATAGCATACTTTCTTGCGCTTTGTTTAACTTTAGGCGTGCTGCGAACCTGCCTAAACATTAGACCAAAGAGTATTAGTATTGTTCTTTTCAATGCATTAAACTATCTGTTATTGAAGACTAAAATTCCAGCAAATTGTTTTAAATATTTGCAGCTCACTTCACATAGTTCCACTTAACCAGCGACTGTAAACATTCTTCTTTTTTGTTTGGTTTTTTTTTTTGTGCTGTGCATAATGTTGTTGTTATTTTATTTTTACTGTTATGAGCGTTTAAGCAAAACTTTGCGCTTTTAACGAAAGGAAGAAGAGGAAAAAAACACAGCGTTGGGTAAGCATAAAATTATTATCAACCCGCGCGCGTAGAGACCAGCTACAAACCAGGACACCAGCAACAACAACAACACCAGCAACAGCAACAACAACAACAAAAACAAAAGCACAGCGCACGCAATGTTGTAGAACAAATATAAAGTTTTTTCTTGCCACCATGAACACTTATGTTGTTTTTTTTCTTGTTTTTTGCTTTTTGTTGCTCTTTTTCGGACGCAGTTTTGCATGGGGCGTTGCTAAATGAACCGAGCGAAAAAAATTATCCAAAAAATATATAAAAAACAGGGTATAAAAAAAAAGGAAAAAACAAAATAAAAAATTCATATTAAGATGAAATATTTGGCGACCAACACGTCGCACTTTTGATACGCTTTGAAATTTATATAAAAAAAATGTATATTTAAATACAGATATATAATTTAATAAAGCTCTTAATTTTGACTTGCTTGACTTTATTTTTTTATAAAATATTATAAATAATAAAAAATAATATCATAAATAATTAATAATTGTTCGATAATTAAATTAAAATTTTCCTTAAATAATATTGATAATAGTTTATATAATTTAATCGTATAATTTTTGATTACCCTTTTAAAATACTTCATAAATATTCAAGTACAGACAAAAGTTACATTATGTCATTTTTAAACTTTGCTTTCTGCAGACTACAAATATCTTAACCTTCGTATCGCCTTACAAAGTGCACAATACATTTTGACAATTATAGAGTAACGCGATAAATGTGTGTTTAAAAGCAGTCGCCAAAGTTGAGTGTTAAAAAACATTTCAACACTTGGCGCACATGGTGTCACAACATCTACAGTTACAACAACAACAGCGACAACAACAGCAACAACAACAGCGACAGCAACAATAAACAGCAGCTAAAAACAACAACAGATACTGCGACACATGACCGAAGCGTGGGCCAACCACAGGCATAACAAAAGCAAAAAAAAAAACACACACACACAGTACCACAAACTGTTTGGCGGTGCTTATTTTTTATGACCGGCCCGGTCAAGTCCAGTTTGTTTGGACTGGATCCCCACGTCCGCCATTTCGTCCTTGTGCGCATCATTATGCAGTAATTTTCATAAATTGCGTCCCCGAATATTAGCGTTTACTTCTAACGCCGCGCTGAAAGCATAACAACAACAGTTTTTTTTTTTGTGCACAACAACTTCAACTGAGATCAAAGATAAAAAAGAACAAAAAAAAAAACTGAGGAAACGCGCTTTAGATAT